AGAGGCTAGAAGTCCAAATTCAGGGCACCAGTTCTAGGGGAAGGCTCTTTCTCTGCTGGCTCTGAGGGAAGAGCGTTGTCTCAGCTTCTCTAGCTGACCATCCTTGGAGTTCCCAGGTTTATAGGCTGGTCGGCCTCCTTCATCTTCAGATAGTGTTGGTCTTTCCTGTGTCTGCTTTCTTCTGTGCTTAGTCTGTTCCTTTTATATCTCAAAAGTGACTGGCGTAAGACATACTGTACACTGACCTGACTTCATTAACATACAAAGAAAATCCTATTCCCAAACGGGATTACATCCACAGGTACAGGGGTTAGGATTTATAACACGTATTTTGGGGGGACACAATCAAATCCACGACAAGTTTTAAAATCAAAAGGCCTGGACTCAAAGGCAGGTCTGCGACTGCCATGTGACTATGACAAGTCACTTACCCTCTCTGAGCCTCAGCTTCATTATCTACAAAACGGGAAAAATAATAGCATCAACGTCACCCACAGGATTTTTGAGGAGGGTCAAATGAGAAGCTGTACGTGAAAGCAATCTGTAAAATGTAAACCAAAAAACCCCATTGCCATCGAGTTGATTCCGATTCATAGCGACCCTATAGAACAGAGTAGAACTGCATCATAGAGTTTCCAAGGAGCGGCTGGTACGTTCGAACTGCTGACCTTTTGATTAGCAGCCCAACTCTTAACCACTGCGCCACCAGGGCTTTGTAAAATGTAAAGCACTCTAAATATGAATTGTTATTTGCTACTAATAGAAATTACATCAAATTTAATGCTCAACCACAGTAACTAGAGTAGCTCAGGAAGCTGCTACCCCTGTGTTTCCCTCCTTCATAAGCTTGGATATCCTGATTCCATTCCACAGTCTTTGTGTACTTGTGTCTGCTATTATAAGCCACTTCCAATCTTTCTGGAAGGAGGCGACGTACAAAAGCAGCTCCACGGTGGGAAGTAACATGGACCATCTACCCTCCCCTTCCTGTTGCATTTGAAGATGGCTATGCCGTTAGATGCGCTGTCTGCAGTCTGGAACCAGGGCTTTGCCCTGAATGAAGGTAACTGGTTCTCTCTGGAGTGAAGCCAAAGACCAGCCAAGCAGCCCTGAGAGTAACTCTCCACGTTCAACAACAGAGACCCAACCAGGAGAATGGGTATCAGCAGGAGGGGAGGCATTCTCCCAAAAATACTGCCTCTAATTCTATGGTTTTATACCTTCAGCCTCAGAACAGAAACCTGCATTTTGTTTTCTGTAGAATTTTTAGAAGCAAAATGCCTTTTTTGAAAATCTGCTTTTTCTACCTACCAGTTTACCAACCATCTGGAAACCAGCCCAGCCCAAAATGGGGTTTAAATGAGACAGCAGTTAGGTAAGACACTCAAGTTGTCACTGGGTTTTAAACATAGCACACGACATGTTACACAAACACCATTCATAAACCTGACTCACAGGTTTCCAACGGGAGCGTGGTACACGTATAAATAGCCTGTGGGGGTCAAACAGTGGAGAAAAAAGGAAGTTTGGGGAATAAGGTCAAAATCACTATGCCCGACTTAAACATAATAAAAATCTCAGCCTTGTCATTATTCACAACCCCCGAGCACAACTCCCACCCAAAAGAGAAGAGAACGTCAGATGGAAAATTCTAAATAAGCTTATGTCCTCATATTGAATTGAACCGTACGAGTGAGGCAGCATCCCTTAATGAAGTTATAATTATGTTGTTATAATTATAATTATGTTGTCTCACTGCCTGGCTGCCGGATACCCACAGTACAAAGCAGCCACTCTGAGGGAATTTCTGCACTCAGAACTGTTTGGGGATCTTGAAAAGAAGGTGGTTTGACTGGCGTTGACCAGTTGATTTGCACGAAATGACAGTGATGGTTTTGGGCGGCAACAGAAGACTACACACTTGTGGTGAAGAACCAACACCATGAGCGTGTGGGAAACGTTTAAAAAAAATCATTTTTTTCCTATGATCCCCCCTCCCCACCCCACCCATGTGATTCTGGATGTGACTTATTACCAACGTACTGCCCCCAACCCAACTCATGATGTCACTGAGCCTGGCTCTCACAAAGCAGAGCATGGAAATAAACACCCCTGCAGGCTCAGGGCTGGGTGCCACTGAAGGCAAATTCCGCACACCTCCCAGCCCCGTCCCACTTGGGGTGATGGGCTTGGCCACGGCTTGGAAGGAACACGAGAAAAGTCTTGAGTAGGTCTACAACATCGCCAGGCATTGGATGGGGGCCCGCAGACTCGCCCTGACTCTGGGTCATTCTGTTCCTGAACAGGCATCTTCCAGCCTCTGGGTCTCCACTCTCACGGTCCCGGAATGCAGGGTGAAATTGCAGGGAGCTGTCTGATGACATGGATTCAATAAGCAGCAATTCCCACTCAGGAGAGCTTGAGCGTTTCATCACCACTCCCCCGCCCCCGTGCTCAGAAGGGACACACAAGCTGCGTGTAGGGTTTGGAATGCCAAAGACTACGGGACACAGGGCAACAACAGACGCACAATTAGCTCAGCCCACTGGCCGCGCACCATTTCAGTTCCTGATTCCGTCCAACTGCCTGCTGGGTCTCCTCCTCCCTCATCCCCACTCTGGGTCCCGCCGCCAACCACCAGCGAAGGTGCGTGTCTCAGCCGCAGCTTCTCCTGTCCCAGTCTCTGACGACGCTTGTGGTCTTTAAGAGCTCACTAAAGTGTAGATCATGCTGGATGCAAAAAGAAAAGAAAAAGAAGGCATTAGTGGGTGCCCTCGGAGGATTCAGACCGGCCCGCAAATGAGGAACTTTCCAGAAGCCAGGCACTTTGGCTTCTTTCTCACTCCGGTTGCTAGGGCCTCTCATCCACCCCCTACTCCCCAACTACTTCCCACAATGTTTGACTAAACATTTGTTAGGAGAGCATGTTGCGTCCCTTGGATAAAAGACGTGACTGCCTTGAGTGCCTCTCGCTGTTCGCATCAGTATGATTATTATGGTTGTCGTTCCTATTTCCTGCAATCACCGGGCAGGTTTCTGGGGACTGGGGGGGCGGGCGGGGGGGATCCGATTCTTTATTCCACCAGCTGCCTCACGCTTACATGATGGCTGTGTCCAGGGGCTCCCAGATTCTGCCAGATAGTATGTCAGTGCTGGAGAAACGATGATCGTTGCTATTGTGAGTGCCGGTGTGCGCACACAGGCCCTCTGGGCACAATTGAGTAACTCTCTGGCCCCCCTGCTTTTCATGGGACCCAGGCATTAAACGTGCATTAAGGGCATGTATTCTAAGGCAGGGCCGCACAACTACCAAGGCAGGGGCATGCATCCCTCGGCTCTTAGAAAGGCCCGCAGGGTGATTCTGCACGGCCGAGCACTGACCCAAACCAAAATATACCACTCTGGCAGAGAGAAGAACAGCCGCCTCTTGACTCGTAGAGAGAGAAAAGGACAATCTAAAAACACAACCAAGGCAAAGACACTGAAGTGTTTTACTTCTAACCCCACCCAGCTGAGCAAGCTTTCCCGAACAACTGCAGTTCCAACTTGGAGAGCCTGGTGCACCTTGTGCTCACATTGCAATGCTGGGCAGGCCTGGGGCTCGAGGAGTCTTCCTGTACACGGGGAAATCCAGGGCCAGACGACATGTAGGTGGCTCAAGGTCACGCAGCTAATGAAGGCAAGGCAGGAAGCCGTGTCCTAACTCCAAAACCAGCGCTCTTTCCATTGTAATACTGAGCCTCAAGGCTGACGCCTTTGTTTACTCACTTTCATTTATTCCTTCTTTCAAGTATTTACTGAGCACCTACTGCATGCCAGGCACCCTTCTAGGTGCTGAAAAACAGTGGAGAGTGTGTGGCCACACCCCCTGCCTTGAGGGAGTGAACAGTCAAGCCTTAACAACAAATGACAAGGATTTAGTGAACACCTACTACGTGCCAGGCAGTGGCCAGGGCTCTGCAGATACAGAGGGGAATAAAACAAATGAAGTCTCTGCCACCGGGGATAAGTAAGTACTTAACTAAGGTAAGTGTGTTGTTATCAGCCGCTGTCGAGTTGGCCCTGGCTCATGGTGACTCCATGCACAATGGAACGAAATGCTACCTCGTCCTGGCCATCCTCTTGATCGGTTGTAGATCCCACTGTGATCCATAGGGTTTTCACTGGCTGATTTTCAGAAATAGATTGCCAGGCCTTTCTTCTTAGTCCATCTTGGTCTGGAAGCTCCGCTGAAACCTGTTCAGCATCATAGCAACACGCAAGCCTCCACTGACAGGCGGGTGGTGGCTGCACATGAGGTGCGTTGGCTGGGAATCAAACCCGGGTCTCCCACGTGGATGGCAAGAATTCTATCACCAAGCCACCACTACCTTCTTACGGTAAGTATTAAAACAAACAAAACCTTTGCCATCGAGTCGATTCCGACTCATAGCGACCCTACAGGACAGAGGAGAACTGCCCATAGGGTTTCCAAGCAGCGGCTGGTGGATTTGAACTGCTGACTTTTTCGTTAGCAGCTGAGCTCTTAACCTCTGCATCACCAGGGCTCCTAAGGTAAGTATAGGTTGTGGTAAATGTGATGACACACGAGGAGGGGCAGGTGTGATCCCGAAGCTGGGCAGGAGGCTGCTGCTACTTGAGGTAGCTGATATGGGCCTGCTTCACACTCCAGGTTTGAAAAGATCTTTATACTGAGCAGGCAGGCAGTACTCACACTGGACAAACTCTTAGCTACCACCTAACCCACATAACCTGCAAACATCTCCTGGTCCCCAAGGCGACCTGAGAAGGGGGTGGCGGTGGGTGCCAATATGCTCAGCACAGCAGAGTGGGAAGGACACGGGTTCTGGAGACAGATAAATTGCACAGGGTTAGCTAGGACCTTAATCTCTCCCAGTCCCTCAGGAACCCATCAGTAACGTCGAGCTGTAAAACACCAACGCCCCTCTCCAGGATTCTCAGCCGCTATAACACGTGCTCCTCCAGCACTGTGTTAGCTCAGATGCAGCCTCCAATACATGTCAGTCCCCTTCTCTTCCAACAAGAGTGGCCTGAGCTGATGGTGCTGTGCTCAGGGGAGATCCTGAGGTGGGAGAAACAGGACCTCCGAGGAGCCCTGAAGAGTGCCAAGTGGTCAGCTTCCACAGAGAATGCAGACGTCCTCTCACCGCCCCCCAGGCCCAGTGAGGCAGGGGAGCCATTGTGTCCAGCTTTGTTTCAGAAACAAAATAATGAACGAATTTAACATACTGGCAGTGCCAAACTGAACTAATGGACAGAGGACAGACAGTCAAACAGAATGTCTGGAACATAATCAGTTACAGAATGATCATATCCATCCACAGTGGCCGCCAGCACAACCCCCACCCCACCCCCGCCCACTGCCTCCTCCCACCCACACAGCCAAGCAGACAAATAGCTGTTTTACTTTCTGTCTGTGAATTCATATGCCTTCTTCCCCAAAATGCCTGGGGCTCCAGCAGTTACTGCATTAAAAGTGAAATGAGGAAGCAGGTCCCTGGCCCAGCCTCCCTCAGGACTAAGATGGATAGAGGCCCCCGAGGCTACTGGGGCAGGAGACAGGGAAAGCTCTGGCCTTGTTCTGCTGGCTTTGGGGACAGGTCACTCAACTTGTAACTCTCTACAGCAGGGCTAGTCTGCAGCCCCACAAAGAAAGTGAGGTTTAGCACACTCCAGTGAAGAAACCTACTCTCCACATTAGCCCAAGGTGTCAACTCCCTAAACCCACAAGGGCTTGTCCTATCTCTATAGTTTTTCCAGGAGTCCCCGGGTGGTACAAAGGGTTAACACGCTCGACTGCTAACCGGAAGGTTGAAGGTTCGAGTCCACCCAGAGGTGCCTCAGAAGAAAGGCCTGGCAATCTACGTCCAAAAATACAGCCACTGAAAATGCTATGGAGTACAGTTCTACTCTGATACATATGGGGTTGGCGTGAGTCAGGATTGACTCGACAGCAACTGGTTATAGGCTTCCCAAGACAGCACCAGCCTGAGCAAGCTTCAGTGAGTTCAAGAGTTCAGACTTGGAATCAGAGGGACTTGGATGAACCTGCCAGGCAGCTTGAAAATCTCCAGAGGCTTCAAGACCCTCAAGCTCCTTGCAAGTTGGAGCAGGAAATGTCCTGGCAAGCCAGCTGGGGAGGAGGGAAGGGGTTATCCTAAACCTGGACCAACCCTTGGCTCCAGGAAGAAGGTGGTAGGATGACACAGAATCCACCCCAAGACTCTGAGTTACGCCAGAGGCAGCTACACCCCCGGGGCCTCTGAGTCTGTGCAGACACCGGAGATGGAGGGGGAGGGGAGGTAGACCCAAACAGACCCTTCCAGACCATTAGAATCGCCTGAGGAGCTCATTTAAAATGTAGACTCCCAGAAATTCCGAATTAGCAGATCTAAGCCCAGGAATCTGAATTTTTAAGCACACTCTCCTATTCTGATGCAAGTGGTCCAAAGACCAAACCAAACCTGTTGCCATCAAGTCGATTTCATAGCAACCCTGTAAGACAGAGTAGAACTGCCCCACAGAGTTTCCAAGGAGTGGCTGGTGGATTTGAACTGCTGACGTTTTGGTTAGCAGCCTAAGCTCTTAACCACTGTGCCACCGGGGCCCTGGTCCAAAGACCACACTTTGATAAAGACTATTCTAGAGGTTACCTAAGATAGTGGGCAGTTAAGAGTTCAATCTTTGGAATCAAACTTGAGATGGACTTACAGCTGTGACACTTCAGTAGCCGTGACATTATCTAACCTCTCAGCTTCAGTTCCCTCATTTTTAAAAATGTGGGTAATGGTAGCATCTATCTCCAAAAATGAGCAATACATATAAAGCACTTCTTAGTTCAAAGGCTGGCTCAGTTCTAAATACTGGACAAATGTAGCCACTTCCCAGCCTGCCACAGCCCAACCTAAACCTTGGGGTGGCCCTGGAATCTAACACCCCCACCCTCCCCACCTCATCTGGCTGCTGTCAACCATGCCACTTTGGAGACAGCACTGGGAGATCTGGACATTTTCAGAACCTTGCCACAGGTAGCAATGGGACAGCAAGGTGCCAGGTGAGAGGGCCCAGACGTGAGGCCAAAGAGGAACAGGAAGGAGGAGGAGACGGTTCAGACAGGCACTCTCCGGGGTATCAAACCACAAGCCAATCTGTTTATAGCTATGTGCTTAGCTAGGATGTTCTGAATAAAGAGGCAAAAAGAGGGGAGACTCCTGAAACGGAATTGCAAGATGAGCATGTTTTACCTAATTAGAATGGAACACTAATTAGTTATGGAATACTGGGAAAATCATTAGCGTAAGCACTTAATGACCCAACATGCCACTTTGTGAAGCATGACTGGGGTTTTTGCTGTGGTACCCCAGAATGCTTACTAGCAGGCTAGTGGGCAAGGGATGACCAGGCTTCGAATCAGGGGCCACGGGTAACCTGATGGCTGAGCTGCGCAGTTGCTAGAGGCAGAAAGTCCTACTGGGAGGAAGCAGTAACCAACAGCACTTTCCCAGGGATGTCCTAGGAGATGCTGGGAGAATGGGTTTTCACTGCATGTGCCTATCAGCGGGCAGGACCTCCTGCAGGACCGACTACCCCTCTTACTCATTCATACAGAAGCCCTTGTCTGAACTGGGGTCTGACGGCTGGGGTTATACCCTGACTCCCACCCTCATAGGCTCCTCCCAAAGGCCACCAGGCTGACCTGGAACCCCCTTTCCATTTGCTGCAGGCATCAAACTCACCCCGAGGGGCAGAAACTCACCAGTAAAGGTAGTAGAAGAAGGAGAGGAGATAGAAGGCCAGCTTGCACCAGGCCTCCTTCTGACAGTAACTCAAGGTGTCTGCGTTCATGACCACCGGTGGGTCGTAGGCTAGCTCGGAACTATCTGCCGGGCAGTGGAAATACCTGCCGGGAAAGAGGACATGCACCATTGGCAGTGAGGCTCAGAAGGGGCTTCCCTCCCAATGCAGGACTTTTCTCCAAGTGACCTCTGCTAAGCAGTTTCTGTCATCTGCTGGGATCACAGTCCAGGTGCCACCAAAGTTCAGCTCAGGTGTTACTACTATCTAAGTAGGCAATAACGAACCAATACCCAAATTCACTGGCTCATGCTGGTGAAGCCCACGTACAAAGCTGCTCTGATGGAAGGAAAAACGTGTCACCTGGTGTCACCTGAAAGGTACCAGGAAGAGCTTCCTTTCCCTCAAGGTGGATGGCGCTCAGCAGCGCATACAGCCTTGGTATAGGTATAGAGGTGTTGTTGTCTGGTGCTGTCCAGTCGGTTCCGACTAGACAGAGGTGTAGGTGTAAGGACACAGCCACATCTTCACCACCTTGATGCCACTATACCTACAATGCTACCTTAAAACTTAAAGTACTTGGGATTAAGTGTTGTCCTCTACCCAAACCCTCTGTTAAAACCCTGAATACTCAGAAACGGATACCCTATTCCTACTTGAATGTGAAGTAGTTTACCGGATACTTTTTTTTCTGAATAGAAGGACCTAGAATAGCAAAAAGAACATGAGCCTTCCAGAAAGAGAGAGCAGCCCCAGAGGGAAACTCGTAATGACAAGGACAGTGGATGGAAGAGAGGAGGGAGGAGAGGGGCTGAAGCTTTGTCTCCTTCAGAATATCTCGTAGACTCAGCATGAGCTGACCAAGGCCACTTGGGGTGCGACACACGCGGGGTGGGACCCGGGGCCAGAGCCCAGGCAGGTCTCTGGGTCCTGTGGAGGTGGCTGAGCAGGGGGAGCGTGTTGCCCTCAGGAACCCCTCCTCCAGGTGTGGGCAGGACCCTGCCTTGGGGCCTCTGCCACAGTCTCCTCTGGAGCCAAAGAACAAAGTGGAGCTGAAATCACTCAGCCTGGCTGCTTTTGAGTCACCCTGGTAAAGGAATCGGGAATTAACGGGCCCAGCGAGGCTCTGTGACAGGCTGTGGTTCTCTGTGGTGAGCAAGGAGCAGGAGAGCAGGCTCTAATCAGGGGATTAATCACACCGGCTTTGAAGAACATCCCTGTAACATAGCAACTCGAGGAGCTGATACTTCCGTTCCCTCTTTCTTCCCGTTCAGAGGATTGCACTGACATTATCCGTCACCAACATTATGCCGAGAGGAAATCACAAGCCAGATTCAATGATATCTGCCAGCTCATCGCCCTCCGGGCCATTCACCTGTCCTCTTGCCAGGAGCAGATTTCAAAATCGATTTGCTTTCACTGTGGCCTTGTTCCCAGGTGACCTCATTAAGTGGAAGCAGAGGGGCAGGGTGGCCAAGAGGCTCAGTGGAGAGAGCCAGGGCTCTGCCACTAACCAGTCATGGGACCTTCCTTGGGTCAGTCATGAACCTCTCTGGGCCTCAACGTTCCCATCTGTAAAATGGGTGTGAAAACTGCCTACTCAAAGGGCCACTGTGGGGACTAAATAAGCCAACCAAAAAAACCAAACACGTCGCCATCGAGTCGATTCCAACTCATAGCGACCCTATAGGACAGAGTAGAACTGCCCCATAGGGTTTCCAAGGAGCAGCTGGTGGATTTGAACTGCTAACCTTTCGGTTAGCAGCTGTAGCTCTTACCTACTGCACCACCAGGGTTCTAAATGAGCTAATGTATGTAAATAATCTGGCAAAGAACAAGCACTGAATAAATGGCAGCAAAACTGGAGCTGGAGGGGGTTTCATCTGCGTGAGAACTGTCACTGGGCTGGACCTGTCGGAGGGCAAGGGGAAGAAGGGCAGAGGGAAGAAAGGAGGTGTTCCAGGACTCTGATTTTAAAAGACCCCTCCCCTCCTTTTTTTTTCCCTTTCATTTTCTGAGCTCTTACTAATTGTCCGAACCTAGGCTAAATCCTGCCAGGGATTCAAAAAAAGTAAGACAAGGTCCCTGCTGGCAAGGAGATTCCAGTGGCCCCTTTGTGTAAAGGCATACGGCTTCCAAGGGTAAGGACACTGGCTGGCTGGTCTTGACTCGCTTTTGGACATGTGGTAGCCCCAAGAAGCGTGCACAAAGCAAAGCTTTGTAAATTAACCACACTTTTGACACTCTGGATTGACAGCCCACTACTTAAAGAACATTGAGATAAACTCCTTTCACGGGAAGCACCAGTCAGTCCTCTGGGCAGTGCATGTGGGGCGAGGGCACAGAGTTGGCACTCAAGCAGGCTAAGCCCTCCCTCTGCCTCTTAGCAACTGAGCGGCTCTGGGCAATTTACTTCACCTTTTTAAGTCTCTATGTCCCCAGGTGTAAAACAGGGGAAAAGCAGCCTATCTCAACCCCTCTGGATGAAGAAAGGCATAGAAAGTCCCCAGGTGGGGACTCAGTACATTTCAGCACTCTAGTTCTTCTCCTGACTTCTCTCTAAATTCAGATTTGAACAGACTACATTTACTTCAAGTGGGACTCTGCTGTCAACCAAAATCATTTTCCTGCCTCCCTAAACCCGTGAATTCTCCTGTCCAACTGCTCTTGGTCAATGGCACCAAAACCCTACCAGACACCTAGGTAGAAGGCTCCTTCTCCGGCACCTCCTGCCCCAAGAACGGGCCAAGGCCTGCCCAGCTTACCTCCACAGATTCTCTCTTTCTCTCCAATCCACCTTCCACCACCCTGGTTCAGTCCTTCCTTGTCTCACACCTGGGACACCACCACAACCTCCTCATGGACTGTTCCTCAATATTTCACCCCCTCACAATCCTTCATACTGCTGCCAGGTTCACCATCCTAAAAGTCAGACCAGGAAATGCCCTTTTCCTCCTCAGAAGTTTTGCAAAGTTGTCCGTTCCCTGCAGAATAAGTTCTAACTTACCCACCAGGTTGCTTCAGGCCCCTGTACCCAGTTCCCAGCTGTTCTGTCAACCTCACCTCTTCTTACTCCCGTCTGAGATCTCTCCATCCAACTACACTAAACAACGGCTGTTCCCCAAACGCACGGCGTGGTTTCTAACCTCTGGGCCTTTGCTAGTCCTTCAACCTGGAATGCACTTTTCCCGATTTTCCAATGCCACCCTCTCCAGTCTAACTGCTCCTTTCTCTACGCTCCTATGCATATTCCTTACATACCTGCTAAGAATATATTTTACTCGCCACTAGGCTGTAGACACCTTGAGGGTAAGAATTATATCTTTTATCAGCTTGGAATCCCCCACAATGCCTGGCAGGTAGTATGCGTCCCATATGTTTGCTAAATGGAAGAAAGAACGTGACTAAATACAGGCTATATTTTATGGTAAAATGACAATGATGAAATATTTTGGGGGACCAAAACTCTGGGAGCAAAGGGCAAAATGTGGCCAATTGATCTACACAATTGCATTCTTCCCTACTTTGGTGTTTCCCGCCCCTGCTTCCTCTATCCATATGGCGACTATATTTTGCAAAGCCCAAATCACACGATCTGACACATGGTCTTAGCAAGGAATAGAATACTTGAAATCAGAAGTGTCCCAGAAAATCCAGTCCATCTGGTGGCTGCTTTTAACGCTGACCTACAAGGGCTGGGGCTCTGGTTAAGGGGAGCCTGCGAGAGGGGGCCTTCCTTATCAGACTTCCTGCTGCCTGAGAACAGCCAGAAAAGGGAGCTTTGGAGAGAGGGCCCCCAAAGGGTAGGGAGGAAAGGAAGGCACCAGGTGGCCACTCTAGGGGCATCATCTCTGGAGGGCAGACTGCCCATGGAGAAAAGGGAAGGACAGACCAGTCCCTAGCAGACTTACCTCCAGAAGTGATAGAAAAGTAGAGGAACATTCAGCCCCAGGGTGAGCCACTCCTGTGCACACAGGAACATGACGCAGAAGAGGCTGTGGATGGAATATTCTGGCAGCACCAGCTGAAGAGGGAGCAGAGACACAGGCCTGGGTTAGAGGGAGGAAAAGCTACTCCTGCTTCTACGGCAGCTGACTTCTGCCTGGACGCCGCCTCCAACGTGCTCTTGACGTGAGCCCTCCCTGCCGGAGCACAGTAGCTGCCTCAGGACTGGGATCCATTTCTGTGAGTTCTCCTCTTTACAGTACCAACCAATCAGTTGCTGTCAACTTATGGCGACCCCATGTGTGTCAGAGTAGAACTGTGCTCCACAGGTGTCTTAGACATCTAGTGCTGCTATAACAGAAACACCACACATGGATGGTTTTAACGAAGAGAAGTTTGTTTTCTCACAGTTAAAGTAGGTTAAAAGTCCAAATTCAGGGCATCACCTCCAGGAGAAGGCTTTTTCACTGTTGGCCTTCTTCTCTTCAGTGTTTCCC